GCTCATTGTGGACTGGCTCGTGATTGGAGGGGCTCATTGTGGACTGGCTCGTGATTGGAGGCGCTTATTGTGGACTAGCTCGTAATTGGCGTGGCGCGGCAGGGCGTGTGCCGTAAGTGTTTCCTTCCGACAAGCCGCTGCTGCTCTTCTTGTCATGCCTGCCCGCGTCGTACACGTCGACATAAAAAAAATTAATCTTACCACGACTTGCCGCAAAGCACGAGGTTAAGGCCGTGGGGTGTGGGGTGGGCCTTTTCTCCAACATTAAAAGTTTACAATAATGTGCGGAGCTCCTTTCTGATCTTGACCGACGCAAAAATTGCATATTACCGACCCAAATTATGCGCTCTAGTTGACTTATCAACAGAAGTCTATACCATTAAAAATCCATGGGTGTTTTCTTCCATAGACACCAGAAAAAAATATGGCCAAACTTGAAAAAAGAGACGAATGCTAAAATTGAAAACACACTAGAGAGATAAGAATAATCAATACAGTTGTGGATTAGGACTTATACTAAACAGAAAAAAAAATCTAGCCTAAATTTTTACGTCAACAGTGTACGCTAGGAGCACTGGGACATTTGTAGTTCTAGCAATGTATGGCCAGTTGGTTTTTGACAGGGCTGGTTAAGAAAATGTTATTAGATTATTATTTTTCATGTCACCCCTTTTGGGTGTTACCTGTGACCCATACCGTTTTGAAATATATACAGACTGCAATTACTCCGGTATTTTTTATTTACTATTTTGTCGTCAAACCCCGGGAGTGCTCATGGTATTGTCCGAGCGATCGCGACGCGACAGAAAAGACGACATTTTCTCGGGTGCAATCAGCTGGACCATTGTAGCTCCCGTCCCTACTATAGGTATTGTACGACGCGGCACCTGTCGCGTGGCGTGGCGTCATCAGCGCGAGGGTGGAGTGTGAGTGCAGCCGCTGCAGCCGCTGCAGCCGCTGCAGGTGCCCAGCTGTGCGTTCATATGTATTTGCAGAATGGTGTCGCCGGTGTTGTTGTGTGTAGTCAGAAAGAGCATCAGCCTCCTGAACCTGAACACACGGGGCGTGATTATACCCCTTCCCCCCTCTCCACTTCTCCATATAGCAGCGTGTGCAAGAGCGGCCTGCCTGCTCAGACTGCGGCAACTCGAAATAAATTAAACGATTCTGTCCTGCTTTTCACGAACATAAGATAAAATACGTTTCAAGGAAAATACTGAACTTTTTTGAGAAAAATGGTGTGAAGTTTCGTGTCGAATCTGGTGCGCAATGGTGCTCTCGGGATTTTCTGGGACCAAAGAGTCATTTTCAAGTTCGGTCCATGAGGCGCGCTGGCGTCCCACCGCCGCTGCTGCTGGAGTCCTATCTCGCCGCCGAACGTAATCAAGGCCGCGCCTGGAGACGATTTATCTGCGAGAAACAGCGCGGTTATTTTCCTCCTCCTCCACCAGCGACAGGCTGCTGAGGTGCCTTTTTGGAAACGGCTCCTCCCTCTGATTGATCCTTTTACTAGTTTTTTTCCCTCTATTTACCACTTGAGCCTCGACACCCTTTTCGTCGTCGCGTCTCAGAATATCCGTATATTTGCTCTTCTTGAAGTTTTCGAAGGCCGCGACAATCTTACTGCGAGTTGTTTGTTTTCTCTCACTCTGTGCTTTTTTGTTCGTTTTTGTGAGCAAATAAATACGGATGGTTGTAGTGGTGGTTTTGATGGTCGGTGGTGGTTTTTCGCGCGCCACTTGACGCCCCACCCCCACCTCGCCCCACTACGCCCCCTTCCCACCCCGCCTCGCCCGTCAGCCGGACAGGTGCGTAGGGGAGTTCTCGGAAGCGGCCCTCCTCGCGTGCCCGCGGTGCTCATGAGAGGTGTGAAGTGGCTCATTTAGTCTCCGATCGGGAGGCGCGGGCCCCCGCACCGCGCCCCGCCCCACCAGCCCCGCCACGCCCCGCCACGCCCCTTGAGGACGGCTGCGGCGGCGGCGGTCGCGCCTGCAGTAAACTTTTATTTGTTTCCCACCTGCGGCGGCCTATGCGCAGCTTCTTACAAGGTCCTGCCCTGCCGGCGGCGGTCGGCCAGGTCTGGGTAGACCACGAATGTCATGATGCTGATGATAATGATGATGAAGAAGCTAATACCGATCATAAAAAAGTTGGGCGCGTGCTTCACGCATGATCTGCTGAGCTGCTCCCTCTAAATTGTGGCTTCTGTTTGAGGTTTGGCAGCCTCTGGCGCCGCGTCGCTCCGTCGTGGCCTCACCTCTGTCGGGGCGGGGCGGGGTGCCGCTGTGCCAATCCCTCTGCAGCAGAGCAGTCATGGGGTTCGACGGAATTCCTCGGTAATGGAGCAGTTTGGAGGGAGGGCTGCTCGCTCGTCGTCGCGCGCGCGGTATTTGAATGGAACGTCTTATTCATCTTCTTCTTCTCGAACCGCAGCCAGAGCCATATCGCTTGTTAAGGGGATGCCCGCGTCTTGTTTGTCTGCGGCTGCGTGCTCACCCAGGCTGAACGCACCGCGGGGCGGGACGAGGCGGGACGGGGCGGGACGAAGTGTGACGGGGTGTGGTCCTCCCTCGCTGACCCGACCCGGAGTTCCACCTTTGTCT